TCTATCAGAAGAACTGGCAAGAAACTCAGCGGGCATGTCTTTTTTTTTAATATTAGATTTTTTTTTAATATTCATTTTTACAAGAGGTCACCATGCGATGGACCGACCAGACCAAGTCGGCAGTTGGCGGCTGTTTGCATGAGTGTACCAGGCTCACCACAAACCGCGAGGAGTGGTGATTGCTCGCGAGGCGCATAACATCTGCCCACAGCAATGATACTGGATGACGACCACGACCGCTCTGACAAGAGTGATACGACATACGATTACAAGATGTATTATAACGTAACAATTATTGCAATATTGAAACGCCCGGAGCGAGCAACTAATTTTGTTTTTTTTTTATTGCTTAGATGGGTGAACGAGCTCACAGCCCACCTGGTGATAAGTGGTTATTGGAGCCCATGGATATCTACAACGTAAATGCGCCACCCACCTTGAGATATAAGTTCTAAGATCTCAGTATAGTTACAACGGCTGCCTCACCCTTCAAACCGAAACACATTACTGCTTCACGGCATAAATAGGCAGGGCGGTGGTACCTACCCGCGCGGACTCACAAGAGGTCCTACCACCAGTAAACATGTTTGTCTCCGATAACATGCAAATGGTCCACCTTATAGTGAGTGTTCAGCGTCGCTTAACAACAATGCCAAGGACATGCCGCTGCCAACTGGTGAAGCCTTCGTTCAAACCTCAAACACCAACATTTCGTAGGTAGTGCTCTGTGGGCTTAGTGCGAGTTTTTTTACGTTCTCGATAGCGAAAAAGTTAACTAGAACTAGATGATGACGGTTAGTTGCCCTCAATTAAGAAAAATAGTATTATTATTCGCCAATAGATGTCGGGAAGAGTTGATTATTGAAAACACGAATAAAACAACATTTTCTGAAAATAAATCGTAGCTAGATCGATTTATCGCCCCCGAAATCCCCTGTATACTAAATTTTATGAAAATCGTTGGAGCCGTTTCCGAGATTCAGATTATATATACAAGAATTGCTCGTTTAGAGATATAAGATAAGATAAGATATAAGATAATAATAATATAAGATTTGTATGGAGTTGGAGCGTTTGCCTACGTTTGCCGCTAGGGGCGCTGTTCCGACTGCATACAAGTTTGAGTTAACTTTTACGCCATCGAGAACGTTAAAAAACTCGGACTATGCACACAGATTTCGTTTTATAAACATATCATTTTATCGTGTGTTACAAGCATAGCCTAAATAAAATGTGAACATAAGGCCGTTGACCGACTCGCTGGATTCCTAATCAGCACGTATTTAAATTAAATAGCTCGACCCACGTCTGAATGTATTATTATCTATGGCCCACGCTCGCATTTACATTCCCGCCTAACCTATAACCCCGTATTTAGGTCATTGAACCAGTCTAGACGCAATTTTAGTTTTTTTTTTTTCCCGAAAATAGATAGGCAAAAGTGATAAAGGACATTGTGCCAGTGGCATTCTGGAAATGAATAGGCACTATTTACATTGTCTTTTTTTCTCCCAACCTATTCACTGGTAGCCGTCGTCGTGGCCTAAAGGATAAGACGTCCGGTGCATTCATATGTAGCGATGCACCGGTGTTCGAATCCCGCAGGTGGGTACCAATTTTTCTAATGAAATACGTACTCAACAAATGTTCACGATTGACTTCCACGGTGAAGGAATAACATCGTGTAATAAAAACCATACCCGCAAAATTATAATTTGCGTAATCACTGGTGGTAGGACCTCTTGGGAGTCCGCGCGGGTAGGTACCCGCCTATTTCCGCCGTGAAGCAGTAATGCGTTTCGGTTCGAAGGGTGGGGTAGCCGTTGTATCTATACTGAGACCTTAGAACTTATATCTCGAGGTAGGTGGCGCATTTACGTTGTAGATGTCTATGGGCTCCAGTAACCACTTAACACCAGGTGGGCTGTGAGCTCGTCCATCAATCTAAGCAATAAAAAAAAAATCCTAAGAGGCTATACCAGCTACGCCCGGACGGGTAGATGAGCTCACGGGCCCAACCTGAGAGAATTTGCTGTCACCTAGCAAGAGCAGTGTTTCGAAGAATCTACCAGCGAATCGGAATCGCGACCCACTGAGAAGATCCGGCGAGAAACTCATCGGGCCGTGTCTATGGGTTAGTTCGCTCGTCTTTCGTCGTAATCGACGAGGACGATGACCGATGCTTGAGAGGCCTAAAAGCACCGAGAGTGAATCCGGAGGATCCGACAATACATGTTTCGGGCGACGGCGGCTTTGCGTTGCCACGTTGCGGTCGGATATTAGCAGCGGCCACGACAAGAGGGTTATCGTGTCGCGCTGCTTTATCAAAGTAGCGTTCTGACGCTTTCTTAGGATACTTACGTATCGGCACTAATTTTAGGTCGTCGTGTAGATCTACATTCCTCACATACCACGGAGCTCCGACGGCTATCCTGCAGAAGCGGGATTTAATAACCTGGAGAGAGATAATGTGTGTACGGGCCGCGTGAGCAAACACTACGCTTGCATAAGTAATGACGGAACGTATTCAAGTTTTGTGGAGTGTCACCTTGTTACGAAGGGACAATTCACTTCGCTTGCAGATCATGGGGTAGAGTCGACCGAGTAGGAACGTGGTTCGGTCGCTTGCTGACTTAATGTGAGACCAGAATGTCATCCCCTGTAGATAAATGATAAGAATTATTAAGCGAAAAAAAGCTGAAAAGCACTGATTTAGATGATATTACTTCCCCAACTAGCTTGCTCTATTCCTAATTACAGAATTAGACAGGGTGGTAGTGTATGGACTCACAAGACACCATACCACTAGTAATTGTGCAAATTATGACGATGCTATTGTTACACCGCGGAAATATTTCGTGAACATTTGTTAAGTAGGTACATATTTCATCAAAAAATTTGGTAGTTGCCTGCGGGATTCGAACATCGACACGGTCGCATCGATCGATACAAATGTACCGGGTGTCTTATCCTTTAGACCACGACGACTTCAAAATTGATTGATACAAACGAGTTTGATTTTTTCGTAATCTTTTGCCTTATAAAAATAAAGTTGAAATAATGTTGAGCAAACTAACAGCACGAATTTTGTGTTCTATTAAAATATTTTCTTATTCCGTCCGACACGTGTTTACGATTCAGATGCAAACACAAGCAATATTGTTTTTTTTTTATATTTATATACACTGAAGTCATCGCCTCGAGAATTTCAATATAAGATAAACTGTTTTTACTCAAACAATTCTCAATGTTTCCGTTTTGTATCTTAACACTGGCCTCATTCGCTCTGATTTGTTATAATTTATTGTTAAACATTTTTATTTTCTCTTCTCTTTCTTCGAATCTTTTCTACCTTGGATCCACCAAACCAATCTAAATCTATGACGATTAAAATATGAACGTACCATTAGACATGAAATCTTAAATATAGATACATTTCCTATAAAAGCAAGCAAGAAAACATGTATAAATTCCAACTTCGATCATACGGTACTATAATTAAAATAACTTTTACAATTTAACCTCGAATATTTTATGGTCATTATATTATTTCCGACGTCGAATTATGTTATATACACTATCTCTCAACTGAATATCATTTTCGACATTACAGCGCTTTTAAAAAACAGCCACAGATTTGAAAAGAACTAGAGTATCTCGGGATGTTTGTGTTTTTATTGTGTACCTTACAATATGCAAGCATGTCTATCATTTTGGCACTGAACAGTGATATAGGGTCGAGTTGAAATATTTAAGAGCGACTTTAAAATCTTTTGATGCGTCGTGGCCTAAAGGACAAGACGTCCGGTGCATTCGTATGCAGCGATGCACTGGTGTTCGAATCCCACCGGTGGGTACCAATTTTTCCAATGAAATACGTACTTGACAAATGTTCACGATTGACTTCCACGATGAAGGAATAACATCGTGTAATAAAAATAAAACACGCAAAATTATAATTTGCGTAATTACTGGTGGTAGGACGTCTTGTGAGCCCGCACGGTTAGGTACCACCACCCCGCCTATTCCTACCGAGAAGCAGTATTGCGTTTCGATTTGAAGGGCGGGGCAGCCGTTGTACTGTTTAAACTGAGACCTTACAACTCATGTCACTAGGTGGATGTCGGAATTTACGTTGTAAATTTCTATAGGCTCCCGTAACCACTTAACATCAGGTGGGCCGTGAGCTCGTCCAACCATCTAAGCAATAAAAGATAAAAAAAAATACAAATATATTAAACAATGTAGCCTAATTTTTGATCTATTTAAATAGTTTATACGTTCTGTACCAATTACCTGTTTTGTGTATATCTGAACGAGGTCAAATTATTATTTTGTAAACAAAATTCGTGGCGGGAACTTTTAAATTTGGAACTCTAATTAAAACGCATGATAATAATGTCTATTTCCAACAATGCAACACATTTCTTTTTAATACGATTTTTATTAGCTTCAGACGTATGTATGTTTGTAACGGAGTCTTTGAATATGATTTTGACCCCCTTTAAAACGTCGGATTAACTTGAAATTTGGTATACTTATTAAGGACCGATAACAATTCAATGTTAAAAAAAAATTGCAATTTTTTTTTTATAAAATTGAAATTCAACTAAAAAATAAATAATAGTTTAGAAAAACTAATAAAATACGCTCATATAGAAAATTCAACAAAAAAATTGAAAATAAATTTGAATTAAAAAGTGTAAGAAAAAATATATTTTTTGTAAAAAAAGCGTGGAGTGCGTGGTATCAGTAGTTATAAATATTTTATGAACAGATATGAGTAGAAGGGTTATTTTGATAATAATATCCTGAATAACACTCCACGCTTTTTTACAAATATATATATATTTTTTTAAACTATTCGAATTTATTTCTAATTACTGATAAAATTTTGTCGGCTGTATAGATTGTACGCGGGAAGGCACACTAAAATCTAACATTATACAGTAAAGCGTATTATTATCTACATTATGTATACAACAGTCGGCTGAAGAACTCAGCCCTGAGTAAACGTATCGAGTAATTTTTAAAAATGAATATTATATCGCTAATTGTTTGGACATTGGAGAAGAACTGTTTTATCGTGTACACAGCATTAATAGTTTGTTTTATCGGCTTCACGATATTCCACAAGAACAGATTGGATATTCATTACAGGAATGTTGAAATAAAGAGAGAAAAATTGGCGCGAACCGGCCCAAAGAAAAAAGGTTAGTTTCTTTTTCAATGTTTTTTTTTTAAATGAATGTTGCCATGAATACTATATTAATGCATTGGTTTTTATAATACGCACATCATAAAGCCAAGGACCAAATAAACGGATTCAAATAAACGGTTATTTTATAATAAGGAAAGTAAGTAATAACCAATAATTGTTATTAATGAAACAAGAACTAAGTAACATGATTAAATTCAGAATTTTGAAAATCATTTTTTATTTAATTCTACGTATATTCTTTTTTTTTAATACAAATTTCGAAAATGGTTTATTAATCGCAAATCACACGACACATTTATTAATTTATACAACTAATTTTCTGTCTACCATTTAGAATTAAATTTAAAGGACCCATGGCTTGCTGTCTGGCGGTCAGTCAACGCACTGTGTATTCTAAAAATAAAAGTTAAAAGATACGTACTTGCAAGGCAAGTTGGAGGTTGGAAACAACATACAACGCCTAAGTCACATTTCGATAAAATTATATACAATTTATTTTGTTTGATTGAGTGTTTGTCTTGACGCTAATTTTCACGAGGCCTTTTAGTTTTGTTACTGGATGACTTATTGCGTCAATGAACATAATATGACAAAGAATGTGTCCCTTTAACTTTAGCTTTATGGTTCAATATTGCATGCTGGATAAATAAAACAGAAAAAATAATTTTAAATTAATATGTACGATAATATTATATATATGTTATGTATGTGTATTTATATAAGTATGAGTATTTGTATCTATAAATATTATGTATATTAGGTATATACATATGTTTAAGTAATATCACTATAACACTACACCTACCAAGGTTCGTCTCTGCACCCCCCTAAGGTAGACTGTCAGAAAACGCCTATCGCAATAAGTCCGCCTTTACACTGTCAAAGTTATAAATAAATATTATAATAATAACATTAATAACTGGAAACACATCACGCACGTCACCCAGCCTCAATTTAGGGTTCTCTGTGTTACCAGAGACTGATAAATATACTTTAAATATATATATATATATATATATATATATATATATACAGACAATAAATAATAAGGATAAACGAGCGAAACCGCAAGTGTGAGTATTAAGTGTATTTACGTCAATATTTTTTTTCGTGTTCAAATTCCAAGTAAAAACCACTACAAAAACCATGAACTTTGAACGATAATATTGAATTATATTTATATTTATCCGATCAAATAGATTAAGTCGTAATAATTGTAATTTGTGCCTGTCCCGCCTGTCTATATGTCACAGTCATTTAACTCTTTCGACTTTTAACTCTTTTTATTACTGGTGGTAGGACCTATTGTGAGTCCGCGCGGTTGGGTACCACCACCCTGCCTATTTATGCCGTGAAGCAGTAATGCGTTTCGGTTTGAAGGATGGGGCAGCCGTTGTAACTATACTTGAGACCTTAGAACTTATATCTCAAGGTGGGTGGCGCATTTACATTGTAGATGTCTATAGGCTCCTGTAACCACTTAACACCAGGTGGGCGGTGAGCAATAAATAAAAAGAAACTACAAGTTTGGACTCGCGTGTTATACTGCTATATTTAATACACCCTCAAAAGCTATAGCTACGATATACTCAGGATATACGAACGAAAAACTTTTTTAAAATCCATAGTTGAGTAGTTCACAAAAAGCGGTTAGATTCTCTGTTTTGAGCTCCTTCGTTGAGCACGTATTCTTTTGGATTGTAAACTTCAATAAAAATTATTTCGACAAAAACTGCTGCCATTGATCAAAATAAACTATTTAAAATACTTACTATCACCAAAGTTGAATAAATAAACTACATATTTAAAAGAGTATTTCTAAATAATTCATTGCCCTCGTAAGAACTGTGTCAATACAATTGTTTTTTGTGTGTGTGTGTGTTACCTCGGAAAAATTTTGTAGGTAAACCGTTTTAATATTTATTTTTTTAATTGTTAGCTGCAGCTCCTCATGTGAACTCAAATTTAGTCAAGATCTGACTAAATATTAATACTACCGTATTTGACTTATTAATGTACCTAGTCAGGTCATAAATTCTGTCACATGTTTAATGTAAAATAATTGAAACAAGTTTATTCATTATGTAACCATTCATATACCAAAATGAATTTAACAAAACATAGATTCTTATGACACTAAAGTTTATTCAAAATGACCTCCGTGATTTTGAATACAGGCCTTCAATCTGCGCGGCCAGTCGTCTATCGCAGCACGAACGAGGTCCATGTCAATATCGGCGGCTGCCTTAATCAAGGATGTCTTGAGTGACTCCAAATTGGGATGAGGCTTTGAGCACGCCTTTTCCTCCAAGTGTTGCCATATCTTGTAATCTAACGGATTCAAATCTGGACTGGAGGAGGGCCAGTCTTCGTGCCGGATGAAGTCGATTTCACGCGCCGCCAGCCAGTCTTGTGTGCTCTTCGCTCTATGAGCTGGCGCCGAATCTTGTTGGAATACCCAGTGCCTGTTATTGAACATGGTATGAGAAACAGGTTCCACAAGGTTCGTCAGGACTGTATTTTGATACACAACTGCATTCGTTTTTACACCTTTCTCACAAAAATGTACCTCTGTTAAGCCCCAATAAGAAACTCCCAACCATACCATGAGCGAGGATGGAAAATGACCTCGTTGGACACGCGGAATACGGTTGCTCGCTTCTTCACTACTGTGTGCGTACACCTTATCATTTTGTTTGTTGTAGCTCTCTTCTACGGTAAAAATTTTTTCATCCGAAAAAAGAATTTCCCGATATTTTTTTCCCGCGTACCGCTTCAACAAAGCGCGGCATCTCTTCAGTCTCAGGTCCATTAGACGAGCATTCAAACGATGTCCTGTTTTTCTTCGATATGCCCGAAGCCCTAAGTCTTCATTTAACACCCTTTTCACCGTGGTTCTGCTTAACCCCATCTGAAGGGCCAACAGTTTCTGCTTACGTTTGGGATTTCTTTGAATTCGCGCCTTCACAGCTTTTATCACTGCTGGAGTCCTAACAGACCGAGGGCGACCACTTCTTGACCTGTCATCTACACTAGAGTCTTCATTGTATCGTTTGATGGTACGATAAACGAATCTTTTGGTTATATTCAAATTTTTCAGTATGTTAAAAATTTGAATTGGCGCGTAACCGCAACGATGCAACGCAATAACTGCAACACGGTCTTCTTTAAGCGTCCACTCCATATTTAAAAATGAGTAAAATTCTAAAAGTATACATTTTTATTTTCATGAACAATTCGAAATTCGAATTCAATAAACTTTTTTGTGGCCAGCATTCTAACAGAAAAGTTTTTACTGTGTGACAATACTTATGACCTTACTAGTTATATTTAATTGACTTCTACTATATATAGATTTTTTAATTTATTTTATTTTGTTAAAATATATGTATTATTATATCCTTCAATTTGTATGATTCAATAACATATCTGCTTTGAGCGTGTGCTATATTTTTTTTATCATATAAATTGAGGTCGTTTCTCAAACTGACTCGTTTCAAAGCACTTCCGATAACATACAAGGTTCTTGTAACTAATTATTAGGCTACAAGCCATTCCTGCGACTTCACCCGCGTCCCTTGATATCAGCATGTATTTTTGAAGTTACACTTTTTTAGGCGCGCTATGAAAAATTGATGAGAGTGAAACTTTACGATGCGCGCGCACCGCGACACAAAATTAACAGAAATGAAGTTGCCCACTAAATCGCTCATTACAATACGACCGACGTAACTTGGCGAATCTGAATATAGCCGCAGGTGAACTTTCGCGCATGTACACTCGTAAAAAAATGTGTTATTAGCATTAATTTTTTAATGTTAAATATTTATTAATTAATATTAAAAAAAAAAGTATATTTAAAAAAATAAAGTATAACTTCTTACGCGCGTACATAAGTACACGCACCCTTTTTTTTTTACTGTTTTAAAATTCTCAAACACGCATCTTAGATATGTGCGATTTAATTATAATATTAATTGTTCTCATAGGATTTCCCTCTAGCCATCAAACTATCGTCAGAATCGCTCTAACCATATCAAATATCAGCCCATACAAACAAACAAAAAGACAGACTATACAAAAAAAAAACATGCTACGGTTACGGTAACGAGTAATAATTATAGTACAAGTTTGAAAAAATCCATATTCTGATGTTATAAACAGATTTATATGTTAATACTTACGTGTAACTTTGTAACCCTTTTTACTAAAAATGCGCGGACGGAGGAGTATGAAATTTCCCATACTTTGAGGAGTTCTAAATGCTATATTTTTTTTAATTACCTATGCACAAAAATACTTTAAATCAATAAAAAAACATTACACACCACGTATTTGACACACACACCTTTATACTATTTTGTTTAATGTTAAATAAAGTCTGTGGTCAAATTGAGATTAGATTAATACTGTTTGTCTATAGTGTAGCCTTGACAAAATCTGTGATTATAAAAGTATAGTCTTTGACAATAGAACCATAATGTCCATAATAATGCTCAAACTTATAATTTAAATTAATTATGGTCGTATTTCGACCATTAGTAGACAGAAAACTTTGTGATATGAAAATCGTAAAATATTTGCATGTTCCTTAGGCGTGAAAAATATTACTTTTGTTTCTCAGTTCACGGTTCGCAGCCTAATAAACAATATTTGGGTAAATCTGTTCTGGAAATAAAGATATGATTGATACTCGTATATTCACTGTCCAATCTTATAGGTATAATCTTGTGAGCAGGCAGATATTGCGACCCTAACGCTCTATCAAGTATAAAATAGTTTTAGTTCAATGTTACTCACGACAAGACGTTTTTAACGCAAAAAATCTCAATTCTAGTACTTTTTCTGTAAATACGTGTTTGTCACCTACTCTAAGACAAGAGAAGGGAAAAATCCCAAAACCACAGATTCATATTCAAATTGTTTATATCATATTTTTTTTATTGCTTAGATGGGTGGACGAGCTCACAGCCCTCCTGGTGTTAAGAGGTTACTGGAGCCCATAGACATCCACAACGTAAATGCGCCACCCACCTTGAAATATAAGTTCTAAGGTCACAAGTATAGTTACAACGGCTGCCCCACCCTTCAAACCGAAACGCATTACTGCTTCACGGCAGAAATAGGCAGGGCGGTGGTACCAACCCGCGCGGACTTACAAGAGGTCCTACCACCAGTAATTACCACGCAAATTATAATTTTGCGGGTTGCATTTTTATTACACGATATTATTTCTTCACCGTGGAAATCAATCGTGAACATTTGTTGAGTGCGTATTTTATTAGAAAAATTGGTATCCACCTGAGATTCGAACACCGGTGCATAGCTCTACACGAACGCACCGGACGTCTTATCTGTTAGGCCACGACGACTTCATTAACATAAATATATCAAAAGGTTCTCGTTAATATGAATCACCGGTTTTAAAAAAGCCAAAATTCTGAGTTGAACGGGCGAAAGAATCACTGAGATAATCTTTTTTTTCACAACTCACTACCTAATTTGTCACCTCTAGAATTTTATATTCAAAAATCGGTTTGGAGGGAACACCACATTCGATAAATAACTATTTGGCTGTACTCCTGACATTGTAGATGTCCATAAGCAACAGTAACCGCTCCCCATCAGGTGGACCGTGTGCTCATCTGTCGACAACGACAACCAAAGAAATTCCAGATCACACTGTCTGTTCGATAAACACGGAAATCTATTTTAATATTCAGATTTCCGTGTTTGAATGTGAAGTAAATTTCTTATCAATATTTAGTGATATCTGTTAGCAAACATAACAGATATCGTGTAGAATCCATTACGCTTCCACAGATAACCAATAAAATTATGCATGCTATGTTTCTTTTTAGTAATGAACTATTTATGTGCCAACGTAACGTTATGTAACTGATTTGGTAGTCTATTTATTTCTTTATAAGGCACGGAATATTCAAAATCAACAATAAGAAAACAGAGTATCTAAAAGAAAAAAAAAAATAACGCATCTCAAATTTACTGCGTCAGGCTTACACTGATAAAGATTATTTATAAATTACTAATTAATTAAAAATAAATTACAATACATTAGAAATATTAAACAGTAAACTAACATAATTAATGGCCCCAGTTAATGTAAGATTGAAATTTTACTTTGCTTAACAATAAATGCTTAATAATAATATTAATGATTTAAGGGTTCTGTAGCGACAATAAAAGTCGAACCTATAATAAGAATTTCCTTCAGTCTTTCTGTAAATCAGGTTTACTGTAACTGATGAAAATTGGATGATATTATGAATCCTACACAATGTAGTGACGGAAAAATTAGAGGCGGCACAATATGTTACTGAGCTATAAAGAAAGTTTCAATGCGTATGGCTGACTCAATAGTTTTAGGAGCTTAAACGCACGGGTAGGTACCACCACCCTGCTTATTTCTGCCGTGTAGCAGTAATGCGTTTCGGTTTGAAGGGAGGGGCAGCCGTTGTAACTGTAATGAAACCTTAGAACTTATATCTCAAGGTGAGTGGCGGATTTACGTTGTAGATGTCTATGGGATCCAGTAACCACTTAACACCAGGTGGACTGTAAGCCCGTTCACCCTACTAAGCAATAAAAAAAATTATCCCTTTCACATTACCTTCTGTCTTCCAAATTGTTTTCGCCCTAATTGCCCCATAATAATTTACTATTGTTCTAATGACCAATCGACTGCCCAATTAACTGATTAACGGTAATAGATCGGTGCAGTTACCACTGCACTCTACCTAGAGGTACCCCTCTATAGCGGACATAGCGCACATACCACCAGTGATCACACAAGATTAAAATTTTCTAGTGTTTCATACATCTCTGTTCGTCTTTTCAGTTTCTTTCGAGACTTATAATGTTTCTGGCATAGAACCTATAGCATACCGTTACCGTTGTAAAGTGATGGGTTTCAAAAAATTTGTATGCCTAGCGAAGATCATGTGGAAACATAAGAAGAATCTCATCATTTTACATGTCTAATTACTGTTGGTAAAACTTACTGTGAGCGTATCGCAGTGCAACCGTCCTCATCCTATGATTTATGGAGCGAAACAGTTTTACGTTTCAGTTTGAAGGGTTAGACGCTACCCAAACCAATTGGTACTTGAACCTCACATTTCAAGGTGGGTGGCGGAACTCATGTATTGACGTCTATGACCTAAGATAACCGTTTAATACCCTCCGAACCGAGAGGTACCCGCTTAGTGCATTAGAGGAAAAAACTAGTGGTCCCGCAGTTGTCGAACTTCGACTATAATTAATTGAAGTCGTAAGTTTGAACATTATTATGGTTTTATTGTCAAAGACTATTATATTTCTATAGTGACAGATTTCGCCAAGAAAGATAAACAATACTTTTATCTTATTCTCAATTCGACTACAGACTTTAAGCAATAACAAAAGTTTGACAATAAACAAAGACTATGTGTGTGTATGTGTGTGTGTGTCAAATACATGGTAGTGTGTGTAATGTTTTCTATATTGATTTAATGTATCTTTAATGCATAATTTAAAAAAAAAATTAGCATTGTGCACTTCTTCTCTATATTCTCTATAAGGGTGGGAAATTTCATACTCCTCCGTCCGCGCAATTTTGTAAAAAGGGGTTCAAAGTTTTTGCTTCACGTATTAATATAAATAAAATAAATATTACTTAACTTCAGAACGTGAATTCCCTGATGATGGGGACGATGACCCAGAGTTACTCCTGCCAGCAATCCCGGAAGACACTCCGCACATACCTTACCGACCTCCGAGGAAATCCGATGAAGAAATCCTTCAGAAGTCCAGGGAATATTATGAGCTGATGGCCAAAAGGCGAACGGTCAGATGTTTTAGCGCTGAGCCTATACCTCAGGAAGTCTTGGATAATATTGTGAAGACTGCTGGTTTGTAAAACTCTTTTTTTATTCCTTAAGCGCGTAAACTAAGACACGACTCATCTATTCTAAAGTGATTACAGGAGATTGCAATTCGACTATGTAAAATTACTTAAGCAATAATTTCACATTCGTTAGTAGCTGTTGTCTATACAATATTTAAAATTCATGCTTTAAGAAAGCTCCCTCAAAGCTATAAGTTGTCCCTCTTCAAACATTACTGGTGGTAGGGCCTCTTGTCAGTCCGCGCGGATAGGTACTACCACCCTGCCTATTTCTGCCGTGAAGCAGTAATGCGTTTCGGTTTGAAGGGTGTGGCCGGTGTAACCATACTGAGATCTTAGAACTTATATCTCAAGGTGGGTAGCGCATTTACGTTGTAGATGTCTATGGGCTCCAGTAACCACTTAACACCAGGTGGGCTGGGAGCTCGTTCACACATCTAAGCAATAAAAAAAGGGTCTACGTTTACCTTTGTTATAAGCAACAAAAACAAAAACCTTAAATTAGTTCAAAGTCTTTTGTAAACACACTTGCGATTACAAACATTATTTTTAAACATTTATAATGGTTTTAACCTTGTAACATTATATACGTAATAATGCTTTGTGTCGGGGCAAATATTTTTTAACTTCCTATGGAATTATTATTTTATTCACGGAATAGATAAACCTTATTTATCTATTCCGTGATTTTATTTTTGTTAAATATATCAAACCTATGGTTTTCGTGGAATTCTTTTTGTCACTGTAACGACACGGGGGGCGGTGGCTCAACTTACTTTTCAGTTTTCACACTTTTCTGGTCGACACTCTGGGTTTTCGAAAGCAGAAATACATATCAAAAAGTAGATTAAAGTTTGCTCATATTTTGCGTTACGTATTCGCAATGGAACATAATTAAAAAAGGTAATAAAATAAGGCAAACGCACAAGACTAACTATCATCAGATAGTTTCTGGAATTTCTTCAGTCTAGCTGTCCGATTTTATAACAGCTATTTGTCTCGTCCTCCTCCTCATATTCCTCAATGCTAAATCACCCTTCTGCATCACTTTCTCTCGCACGACCTTTCTACATCTTTTTCTGTCTCTGGCGATGTGGAGGGCGTTTTAAACTGTCCAATAAAGAGAGGTTCAGATCTGTTTCAACGGTCTTAGCGTGCAACCCTCAGACACAGCCCACTAAGTTTCTCGCCGGATCTTCTCATTGAGTCGCGTTTCCGATCCGGTGGTGGATTTTGCGAAGCACGGCTCTTGCATGGGTTCGTGTTAGCAACGTCGTTAGGTTTAAGCCCCGTCAGCTCACCTACTAGTTAAGGTTACGCTGATATAGCCTCTCAAGGCTCTCAGCTAGGTAGCAAAAAAAAAGGTTTTAGCGGTTTCTCTAAGACAGTTAAAAACATCGACCTCACAAAGACGTCTCAAGGAAAGCGTGGGCATCCACGATGTGAAATTTCACCTATCAATGCAAAAAAAAAAAATTTGAATTAGTACTAGTAGTCATTTAATTTTGTAAATTATGTAAGTTATAGACATTATTTAAATACCACCCAAACTTGAAATGATTAAATTTACTTAATTCATAGATGAATAAATTTAAAGATTAATTTTAGCATTCATTATAAGTATTTCTAAAAAAAATAACCCACAACAACAATTAATTAAAAACTTTATCGTATAAAATATAAATACTTTCATTAAAATGTTAACCGAATCTTAGCGCATTGACCTTCTGTGTTATGTCTGGACTTTATCGTGCTATTTCATACTGAACTGTGATAGCCTTTTGATTCGATATGGTACTAAATACAGCGCGCTTAGCCCAGTGATATCATTCGTCCCACCTTCAAACTAGATTTTATCGTTGGAATGAGGCAGAAATAGGGAACCGTGTCGTCTCCCACAATTTGTGGCATCATACAATTGCAATGTATTGCACAAAAATATCTCGATTTTCAGGCACTGCACCATCAGGCGCTCATACTGAACCCTGGACCTTTGTAGTGGTCCAAGATCCACAAACTAAGGAGGCAATCCGCGAGATTGTAGAACAAGAAGAGGAATTAAACTACACCCAGAGGATGTCCAGACAATGGGTGACTGATCTCAAACCTTTTGCCACGAAGCCAAGCAAACCTTACCTATCTGAAGCACCAGCTTTAGTTCTGGTCTTCAGACAGGCGTACTCCTGGAGATCAGATGGAAAGAAACGGATGCATTACTATAGTGAGATCAGCACGGCCATCGCAGCAGGATTTCTGCTAGCAGCCATTCAGGTATATGTCTATTGGTAATTGAAAGAGGCATACGACTGCAACTTCCACCTAATATTAAATGGATATTAATGCTCATGAGCATCAGCAATGCCAAGAGCACAGCTGAGCCTCTGTCTACCGCTTAGTACTATATTCCAATTTGGAGAAGAAAGGACATGTCATAGCGGCCAGAGAACATGAAAGAGGTGAAAGTCGTCGTGGCCTAAAGGATAAGACGTCCGGTGCATTCGTGTGTAGCGATGCACCGGTGTTCGAATCCCGCAGGCGGGTACCAATTTTTCTAATGAAATACGTACACAACAAATGTTCACGATTGACTTCCACGGTGAAGGAATAACATCGTGTAATAAAAATCAAACCCGCAAAATTATAATTTGCGTAATCACTGGTGGTACCTTGTGACCACCTCTTGTGAGTCCGCACGGGTAGGTGTAGTACCACCACTCCGCCTATTTCCGCCGTGAAGCAGTAATGCGTTTCGGTTCGAAGGGTGGGGTAGCCGTTGTCACTATACTGAGGACTTTAGAACTTATATCTCAAGGTGGGTGGCCCATTTACGTTGTGGATGTCTATGGGCTGCAGTAACCACTTAACACCAGGTGGGCTGTGAGCTCGTCCACCCATCTAAGCAATAAAAAAAAAAAAAAAAAAAGGTAGCTCATTTCATTAGTGATCTCTGAAAACGCACTGTGAATGGTCACAAACATACCAAACAGCGGGTGGTGTGACAATGGGACTATCTTAAACAATTCCTCAGAGCATCCATAGGACACACGATACAAAATACTGGTATAACCAATAACCATTGTCCCACCGAGTACCCAGAGACACGTATTTATATTAATTTCGTTTACATTTCCCTCCCAGTGGTTTTTAGGATATCACAAATTTATTGATAAGTTTATAATGAGATCAATATGTCACTTACTCGGTCTTGGAAATAACAAGGATATTGTAATTTGACGGGAATCGACCCTGAATCGAATCTCGAAGATTACACAAGATTGCATGGGGACGGGATATATTTAATGTATCATAACCAAACAGAAATAAAAAATAATCAAAAGAATTTTCTGACTTAAGATGATAAAAGGTTTTGAAGTGGTCCCTTATGTATACGCCCGATGTACTAATATAGAACGAAGTGACTATACTGGTGTTTAAATATAGACAGACCATTTTCTAAAGGAATACGTACTTGACATGCTCACAAATGGCTTACGATAAATTATACAATTCCTAAAATCTTCAATACAAGATATACCACCAACAGTCACGTTCCGATTATTCTCCTTTCAGTACTGCGGCCTAGTGGCGCTTACATCGACACCTCTAAATGCCAACGCTCGTCTCCGGGATCTCCTCTCGAGACCAGCCAATGAGAGACTGGAACTCCTTCTGCCGGTAGGAAGGCCGCACAAGGAAACAACTGTACCTGATTTAGATAGAAAGCCTTTAGAAGAGATCATGCTTAAGATCTGAACTGCTGCTTAGTTTTAATAGCTCATCCAAATGACTGAATAAATTAACTATACAAAAGTGTATAATTTGTTGAAGACATCATTCCCTATCTTGCATCATTCATTCGTACTTGTAGCTCCACATCTAAGTAGTAAAGAGTATCGGGACTCATTTGTCCAACTCGCTTTATTGCTAGACCCTATTCACAATCTCTACCTACCGACACGTCTCCGGGAAATAAAACTCCGTCGCGAGGTAAGCTGGCTTTTAAATCAGAAATATCAGAAAATGATTAGTAATCGGAATTCTCTCAGTAGCCTCGTAGACGGACGGCCCACTGGTCCAAAGTCCCAAAGTGTCAAATGTATGATGTCTGACTACCCCGCTCTCTGACCCGAGAATATCAGCTTTGCAGAAAATAAGTGTAGAGGGGTGATCATCCTACAACTTTAATTATTCCTGTCTTGAGTACCTAGTTGGAGGATTACACGCATTAGTTATATCATCATGTATCATCCTGCAACAAAGCAGTCATGTGTTGCTGCGAGGGCAAGATATTTGCTATCCAAATATCCGAGAGAAGTCTCCGGAGCTGAGACAAGATCTCAATAAATCGAAGGAGCGATTTCCGAATTTGGAAGGCTGTTGTGGGGTAAATTAGAGTACACACCCTTTTAAATATTCAGGTTATGTCTTAAAACGGGCAAGGAAATATTCATGCGACGTAGCAAGTAAATGTACCAGGCCGTGAAATTATACATTCATACTCACATTGAATTCAAAGTTTGAAAAGCGGACTTAATGAACTGTCCTATAAAAAAACAAGTCGCTCCAAATTCAAATTTTATTACAAAAATTGAATCTTCCACATTACAATTTTACAAACAAAATCACGCAAGAATGTCGGTGTGTACATATTGAGCCGGTTGTCTAACAACGACGGCGGCGACGGCGGCGCCTCCTTCGGCAGCAGCTGCGCCGCCTCCGCCGGCGGCTGCGCCGTCGCCGACAGCTCCTCCGGCGACGGCGGCGACGCCTACAGCTTCGGCGGCGGCGGCGACGGCGACGCTGTGCACGAATATACCAATTAAACAATCATCTTCCACGCCTTTTGTTTTACCTAAGCTGATAGCCTTGAGAGGCTATTTCAGCGTATCCTTAGCTAGTAGGCGAGCTCACGGGGCTCAAACCGGAGTGATGGCAACACTGACCCTAGCAAGAGCAGTGCTTCGCAGAATCCACCACTGGATCGGAAACGCGACCCACCGAGAAGATTCGGCGAGAAACTCAGTGGGCTGTGTCTATGGGTTAATTCGCTCGTCGAGCCTAATGAGACTCAGTTTAATTACCTACAGTTAATACGCACTCAAAATGAAGCAAAAGAACTGAACTTAACTGAGAACAAGCACAGGGTAGGTACAATACGCTATAACTTCGGTAGCGATTGAATGAATTTAATAACCAAGGTGGGTGACGCAATTACGTTGTAGATGTCCATGGGCTTCAGTAACCACTTAACACCAGATGGGCTGTGAGCTCGTCCACACATCTAAGCAATAAAAATAAAAGTCAGTTTAAAAAATTAGGTGCAAGTATTTGTTTTTGCCTTACCTATATACTCAGTAATAATTGCATTATTAAATCGTGCAGAGAACTAGTTCATTAGCTGTGTCAATTACGAGATTTTTACTTATAGTTAGTGTCAAAATGGTTGGCAAAAAGATTTCAATTCTAAAGCGCTTCAAAGATATTCCTAAAGAACTCAAGTGTCCATGTCCATACCCGGCACGAGCGGCGTCTCTTCTTCCTGCGTCGGCCGCACCTGTCCAGGGGCTCACCTGACCTGGACCGCGACATGGATCGAGCACGAGAACACTTGTCTCCATCACGTCTGAAAGCAAAAACATCACCATTCACATTTTTGCCACACTGAGCCATGGATATATAAAATGGAACCGTTTCCAAAGTCTAAATAAAGCAGTAGTCTATCTAGTGAATGACAAAACCAGTTCAGTAACTCGTATTTATTTTAGGGATTTCACAATGCATGGTATTTTCAAAACAACTCTTGCTGTCTTAACTTCACTTATTATCTATCATCTTGTGATATCTACTCAGAGCTTTATCATTTATTTACCATAATTAAAGTGTTTAACTTCAAAAGGAATTGAGAACCATTAAAAAAGTATTCAAAATGTTAAATTGGCAGTTTCCAAAATTACAGAATTTAAAGCATTATTTTCCAATCGTTAATTCATTTTTCTAAACCCGTTCATAAATCGTAATTTATTTGAGATATTCAAACTCGATAAAGTAAACATTTCATCCTTGTAATTTGGTATACCCTATACCTACTCCAAATGCAAACCTCATATTTATCCAAAATGACAAAAGCTCAAATATAATACGTAGATAAAGATTACTGACATTTTTCCAAGTCCAAATTCGGTAGCGACGAAGGGCTCTATTGAAAACGGGTCAAGTTCCTCGTCAGTGGTACCAGATCTTGGTTTCAGAGGACGGAAGGACCCTTCAGACGTGCCATCCGAGCTACTCAGCGGCCTGTTACAATCAAGGGCCTGAGACCTTCCACGCCAATATTATCTAATAGATATCTCAGATATTTTCTTCACGAAAATGCTAAACCATCCTACACATTTTCGAGGTGTTTAATCATTCATTTTTTCTTCAAAAATATTCAATATTAGCTTTGAATTCCATATAGCTCCCATGACTCAAAAATCCCAAAAATCGTGCAATTTAACAAACCGTAAACATATCAGATTTGATTAGTTCATCATTTATCATGTAGTTTCGGTCTGAGTTTAATTACAGTTAATACGCACTCAAAATGAAGCAAAAGAACTTAACTGAGAACAAGCACAGGGTAGGTACAATACGCTATAACTTGGGTGACGATTGAATGAATTTAATAACCATCTAGATAACCATTCAGATCAGTTGGCTTTATAAAGGTTGGTAATATACATTTAATTTAGTTAGCTATTTTAGACAAAATACACAAACAAGCTCCAATTCACTCAGCATTCGGCGATTAATGAGCTTATAGACACAACAAAGTGTGAAGTGAGGTCCTACCTTGAATAGGACTACCCTGAGCTGACATAGGCCAAATCATAAAACTAGATTAGGCACCCACTTTGTCTTTTAATCAAAGCGGAACATCTGTACTATATTTAATTGCCAGTTTGCAAGCTTTCGCCAAACAATGGCTGGCATTGGTCATCATCTTAAGCTCACGATTGTCTATTGACTTAAATAAGTAGTTTAAGTACCAGAACGGCTGTGCAATGCCTTTTCATGTACCTTCTTAATCTACCAACCCACAACACTTGTATCAAAAAAAATGTAATTTTATAAGCAAAGGAAGACCGACTGAATATAAAAAAGCTAGCCGAGATTGTTCCGTCGATTATTCTCAACTCCAATTTCAAAATAAATTCAAAGCCATGACACTTGTTTTTTCAATTTGAAATATAGAACCCCTAAAGTTTTAAGTCAAAAATGACTTTCAATTTCACTTCTTGACGACTCAATAGGTTATACGATAGCAATTCTGGATACGATAGCAATTAGGTCACGCAAACCAATTAAACACTTCAGTGAGACTCGACAAAACCAAATTCAGTACAACTTGCGTGTACCCGTTTTTTTTTGCGGTAACCAATACATTTCATTAGCAGCTGCTCTTGCTAACCCGGATACTGAATTAAGGTTGAATGTATTAAATCAAATCAACATTACTTACCTTCTACTCAAACGTTCATTGTCCCCACTGATATGGTCACTACAAGTTAACGAATACAAATTAGACTAAAACGATGTTTTGTACTTGTAATTTCAACAAAACTGGCACTTCAAGTAAACTACCTAGAAAGCGTGAAAATAGCTGAATGTCGGTATATCTTGGCCCAGAGGATAAAATATACTTGCCCAGTGTAGTTTATAATTTTTATTGCAATAATTTTTATTCAGTGATTACTACTTTACCCGCGGTTTTGCCCGGATTAACGTAAATATATCGACGCTTGAAAGGCAAACGTGACTAGGCGACAATAACTGCTTTGTACATAAATGATAGGCAATAACCATATTCGATGCGCAAAAAAATATTTCTAGGTCTATTAAAATCATTTCAATCCTACAGCTAGATTCGTTAAAATAGATTTTTTTTCAGGTTTTTCAACTTTAAATTGGTCTACTGTAAAGTTCACGCATTGTCACTTATAGTCACGTTTGCCTTTCAAGCGTCTATATATACAATACCTCACCATGACGAATCTGTCCTATGTAACCTATATACATACTACTTTCCCATTATCTATACAGGCTGCAGTATTCCCACTTCCTTACCTTCCTCAGATCTATATCTTATGTCTTCAGTACAATGAGAGAATCTTACAATGGCGTAATACCATTGTCATGCCATTTCATTTGCGTTTCGATTCCCCATATAGTCAGCCTCTTTGTATACTATTTGGTGTTCAAGGTCTGAATATATTGTCATAGATCTTCCGATGCCAATCGATTTTTTTTATTGCTACATGGGTGGACGAGCTCGCGGCCCACCTGGTGTTAAGTGATTACTAGAGCCCATAGACATCTACAACGTAAATGCGCCATCCACCTTGAGATATAAGTTCTAAGTTCTCAGTATAGTTACAGCTGCTCCGCCCTTCAAACCGAAACGCATTACTGCTTCACGGTAGAAATAGGCAGGGTGGTGGTACCTACCCGTGCGGATTCAATTCATCATTACCATCACCCAGCTTCATCATTAACCGGACTGTGAGCGAACTATTCAGTTTTATTAGGTCAACAATCACCAGCATTCGCTACCAGCCGACATAGCTTCTAGGAGCGATTCCTTGACTATTTACACGTTAGAAGTATATACTAACGCATTCTCGAGGCCCTTGTCCTTCTGTTCGTCGTCGGGTTTCTTCTTGGCGGCCATGATCTTGTCGTGATGCCCAGTCGTGTGATTGCGCCGAGCGGCCGTCGCACGGTCGCGCCTTTAGATTACAAAATAGCAATTCTTTCATTAAGTCGCTTTCTCTGTCCCTATATCTGTCCCTATGTATGCTTAAATCTTTAAAACTACGCAACGGATTTTGATGCGGTTTTAATAGATAGAGTGAAGAGGAAAGTTTATATGTATAATAACATCCATTAAATAGTGAAGAAATCAATGATAAATTACAGTTTCGCAAGCGAAGCGAGGGCGGGTCACTAGTAATATTATAAAGCTGAAGAGTTTGTTTGTTTGAACGCGCTAATCTCAGGAACTCTTACTGGTCCGATTTGAAAAATTCTTTCAGGGATAGGCTATATAACATCACGCTAAGACCAATACAAATGGAGCACCAATAAAGAATGTTTCAAAATAGGGGTTTAAATTTCAACATTCTATAATTCAAAAATATTTTCATGTTCTACGTAAATGAAGTGGGGGTAAAATTTAGCGTTATGCCAAAGTAACTATTTCACGCGGACGGAGTCGCGGGCAAAAGCTAGTTGCATGATAAAATGCAAATTTTTGGTTTGAAATGCTAAACAGTCTACCATAAACTATTTCTTCTTTGTCATAAAACACAAATTTGCATTAATTAAAAGCTACTTGTAATAAGTATGCTAACTATGTCTTACTAAATAACTTAATGAATATATTTGACGTGCAATTGAGTGTTCTAAAATAAATCACTCAAGAAGAAGCCACAGATTTGTCGGCAAGTAGCCCACTGAGTTTCTCGCCGGATCTTCTCAGTGGGTCGCGATTCTGATCTCGTGGTAGATTCTGCGAAGCTCTGCTCTTGCTAGGGCCAGTGTTAGCAAATTTTTTTTTTATTACTTATTTTATAGCTTAGATGGGTGGACGAGCTCACAGCCCACCTGGTGTTAAGTGGTTACTGGGGCCCATAGACATCTACAACGTAAATGCGTCACCTACCTTGAGATATAAGTTCTAAGGTCTCAGTATAGTTACAACGGCTGCCCCACCCTTCAAACCGAAACGCATTACTGCTTCACGGTAGAAATAGGCGGGGTGGTGGTACCTACCCGTGCGGACACACAAGAGATCCTACCACCAGTAAATTCTCTCAGGCTAAGCCCGTGAGCTCACCTAACCGTCCGGGCGTGATTGGAATAGCCTTTTTACCAGCGAATAGGTAGGGGCGAAAGTCGGCAGATCTACTGCTACTGAAATGAAAAATAAACGTACTTTCTCTGAAAGTCGACATAAGTCTTGAGCCTGGCGGTATACCGAGGAGCATCAGTCTCGCTGCGCTTACGGATGAACTCCACGAACTCTTCGTTCAGCTTCTTTTTCTCTTCTTCCGGCTCCATCTCCTCGCTCCGGCCCATTGCTGCCGATGCTAATACAAGACGTTAAAAGCAGAATAGTTTTCCATCAGGACCGAAATTAGCGGAAAAAGGGGGGGTGAGATTTTCGCATTTTCATCACACTAAGCGGTAGGCAGCGGCTTGGCTCTGCACCTGACATTACTGAAGTCCATGGGCGACGGTAACCACTCACCATCAGGTGGGCCGTATGCTCGTCTGCCTACAAGGGCAATAAAAAAAATGGACAGACGTACTCACAGCCCAATTGACGTTAAGGATGTTCGGAAGCCCTGTCTTGATGTCGAGATCTCATTGGTACCCTTACTGGTTTTCAGTACGCCCTAACGCAAATTGGTAATCACAGCTCGCTGGTTTAGTTCTCATGAAAACGCCGCCGCCCGCTCTACCTGATCTAATACCTAAGTCGCTGCTTACGACACCAACGGCAAGAGACGATGAGATGTAAGGCCACCACAGCCAATCATGCCGTAAAAATACTGCTAGCTTCTCTAGCAGACTGGAGGCTTAAATGAAGCCTGGCTGAACAGGCTTTGACCCGTGATCAACAATGAAAATACCACGACAAATAAAGATATAACTAAAAGCTAAATTATGTCGGTAATTATGGTGGGTAAAATACCCAGCTTCCCTTATTATGATCGTTGGGATTATACGCTCGAAAAAACCGTTTGTGACGTCACTACCAATCAAATGCTCAAATTCGAAAGTTCTAGATTTCAGTAACAAGAACAACAATTGAAGATACAAAAGATAGTATTTTAGTGTAAGCAAACACGTTACGGATTACGAATCCACGCCATCGCCCCGCTCCTCAAAAATAATATGAAAATATAAAATCACAAACCTTTCATTCAATAACGATCGTTGTTAATAACATTCTAAACGTGTAAAACTGCACACAAAATTAAAAAAAAATATCAAAAATAAACTAAAAATATCAAAGATGTTGTTCGGACATCACAGAAAATTTGTTTCGTCTGATTAATTCTAGATTCGAATGTCCGTCAAATGGTATGAAGAACAAGAAGAAGAAATAAAGATAGCGGCCAGTGTTTGCATGCAAAGAGGTTTTAAACGTGGAAATTTTATGCGTAGAGCTTAAAAACTATTCGAAATGGTATGAGGAAGAAGAAATAAAGACAGCGGCCAGTGTTCGCATTTAAAGAGGTTTTAAACGTGGAAATTACATGCAAAATTTAAAAACTATTGAACAGAGCGTATTTCTTACTAAGTGGACAATTCTAACAGTTACCATGCGCGATGCAGGTTCGCGATTGGTCTTGTATTTTATTCGAGAAAGCGACACGCCATGATAACTTTTTTGCCTAGACATGTTATTTTAGATATTCTTGCTTTTTTCGCTGCTTTTAACTGAACGTGCAATTTAACCCACAGATACAACCCACTAAGTTTCAGGCCGTATCTTCTCAGTGGATCGCGATTCCGATCTGATTGTAGATTAAGCGAAGCACTGTTCTTGCTAGGCCTCATATTAGTAAGTTCGACGCGTGATGAGTTCGTCGAGACAGGCTACCAGTGTTTGGAGGGCCTTGAAATACCGAGATTGTGCTGGAAATTTTCAAAAGGATGTGCTTAGTGATTAGAGGTGGCCACCTTTTACTGGTGGTAGGACCTCTTGTGAGTCCGCACGGGTAGATACCACCACCGCCTATTTCTGCCGTGAAGCAGTAATGCGTTTCGGTTTGAAGAGTGGGGTAGCCGTTGTAATTATACTGAGACTTTAGAACTTATATCTCAAGGTGGGTGGCGATTTACGTTGTAGATGTCTATGGGCTCCAGTAACCACTTAACACCAGGTGGGCTGTGAGCTCGTCCACCAATCTAAGCAATAATAATAAAAAAAGTTGGCCACGATAAATGGGTTTTATTTACAACAATAAAATATTAATTAATTTGAACATCTAACCGGTAAAGAATTATCTGTGATTAATTCAGACTCTAATGAGAGGACAATAAGTGTATCATTATTTCATGATATAAACGGGCTATGAATGAAGGTTCAGACTGATTTTCAAGAGGAAAAATGGGTTAATGAGATCTCCATTCGGAAACATGTCTAACATCGTGGAAGTATTAGCGATACCAAATTTAAATATCCATTGCCAACGTTTTAACGTATTGACATAAGGATTGGAATGGCTTGATTTTAATGAACGAAAGGTTGCACTTAAAAATAGATTCGGTTTAATTCGGGTATCTTCGGCGGAGATCGGTTCAAGATTCAGTGCGCGGTTGCCCGCCCGCCTTATCCGATGCTCGCGCGCTTTGGGCGGTGCAAATTACACTTATTTCTTCATTAAAAAACACTAAATCTTCTTCAAAAATTACGAAAGTTACGCGAAGATAAAATTTTAAGTGTCAAATTCCAATACGATTGAAGCTTTAAACATAATAAGAATAGGCATTTATTGAACGATACCAATGATTTTTTTTTGTTCCAATTTTCTATTTAACTGTGTACGTTAACTGTGTTATGTGATTGTGTATATGCGTGATATGTGTTACTATAGAAATATATGTTAATATCACGATCTATGATACGTTATACAATCGAGCGCGTTGTGATAAATGCATTCCGTGTTGAAGCGTCGTGTGTCTTCTGCTTCCGGTAGCACACGTGCGTTTATTTTCATTCATAAATAGCAGAAGCGACCATGACGTCCCCTAAAGATGGTGACGTCAGCGACGTCATACAAGAAGAGAAACCGCGGAAGGAAACCAAAGATATGTCCGAACTGCCCCCGAGCGGGACGTCTTTGCACAAAAGACGCAGAGGAGAGGCCCCCGCTGCTTTATCAGTGAGATCTCCTCAGACACCTTCAGATGCTGAAGGCTCCTCTCCCTGCACGGCCAGGACTCTGGACGACTGGAGTTTGCTCGAAGCAGAAACCCCAGACCCCGACACAATCTGCGAGAATATGCTACAGCGGCTGAAAGATGCAGATGACCCTTTATCCAAAAGAGGAAAAGAAGTAGCGCAGCATACGAAAGAAACTATGGAAGTACTGAGTCAGCTGGAGAACTTATTGGACCTGCTGGGCGAATATATTATGTCCAAGGAGTACAATAATCATCTGCTAAAGAAACTGCGTGACGTAAATCAACTAAAAAGACTTTATAATGCCCACCAAAAAATCAACCAGGAAAATGAGATCCTAAAGTGTGAAAGCAAAGAGATGCAGCTGATACAAGAGGCATTCGACGCAGAACTGGAGTCTGAGCATGGACAGATGATCTTTGACTCTATGATCCAAGGAGGGCGCGTGAAAAGGTTAGGATCAAAATGGAAAGGTCACGCCAGATTTGGGGGGTCGCTGTTGAGGAAACAGAGGTCCAGGTCTGCCGGCGGGGAAGACAGCGATGCGTGTCCTGGTACACCATTACGACGGAGATCAGAGGGTATCTTCTGTAAAGAAGTAGAGAAGTCCAAAGTTTCAAAATGGACGAAAGTTAAAGCTGCCTTTCGGTAAGTTCATTTTAATATGTTTTTGTTAATATGTTCTATTAGCGACCCGCCCTTGCTTCGCTTCGGAAACTATAATTTATTATTGATTTCTCCACTATTTAATGAATGTTATTATACATGTCAACCTTCTTCAATCACTCTATCTATTAAAAAAACCGCATCAAAATCCGTTCCGTAGTTTTAAAGATTTAAGCATACATAAGGACAGACAGATATAGGGACAAAGAAAGCGACTTTGTTTTATACTATGTAGTGATTGTCATTCATTCTTCGTTATTATATAAACAGAAAATAGAAAAAACCAAATCAATTTGTCAATAGACCTTATTGTTTTTTTATGCTATTTAGTATCTATTAACAAGCTTTACTAAACAATATAAAACATTAATAATATCTATTAATTTTTTAGATATTTTTTTTCTATAAAATTTACTTCACCAGTTACTGTTTCTGTATTTGTCAACCGATTTTCTCAGTCTGTAATAATAAAAGGACCTCTATTGAGGTTCTTTTTTCCTAGTCGTTGGGAGCTTACGAGACTATTCCAACTACATGCGAACAAGTAGGTAAGCTTACGCGCTCAAGTTGTGAGAATTTGCTAACACTAGCCCTAACAAGAGCAGTGCTTCGCTGAATATACCACCGGATCAGAATCGCGAGCCATTAAAAAGATCCGTCAAAAAACTCTGTAGGTTGAATTTTGAATGTTAAAAATAACAAAAAATTAAATCTTCAGCTTGCTTTTCTAAATTATCATTAACAAAACAAAATAGAAATACATTAATTGATTCTAAATCTTGAGGCGTCTTTGATTATGTCGCGATTTTTTGCCCGCACTAACAAATTCGATAAATACCCAAGAGACAATCAAAGGAACAAACGACCACTTTAAGTTACATTATTTTTGGATCTAGGGAACAACGACCTTATAGTATAAGCGTTATCTCAAACTGAAAATGAGGCTACAATTGGGTTTTTGAATATAATTTTATTACAATAATAGCACAATTTTAGTACATAAATCGAGCCATTTATTCACTAAAATAAAAATGTTATTACCGAAACGAAATATTCATTTATAAAATAGATTATTTTCTCACACAGGGCCGCTTATTAGAACTATTACCACAAAATTCACGTTCACAATTAATTTATTTCAAGTCAAATCCATATTACATAAACTCAGTTTTCTGTTTTCTCCGTGCCCATTTGAATGTTTTAAAAATACCACCGGTTTCGTGAGAAATTTTTATTTCGTAAGAATGAAAGAAAAGAATACCGTAGGAAGTACCGGCTAAACAAACATGTCTTTTATTGTTTTCTTAAAGCCTATATTAAGCTTATTCCATTTATATTAAGTATATAGACCAATCTTTTTCTCAGAATAAATAAAGACTTGCAATGCCAATTTTAAAGGGGCGGTAGCATATAACTTCGTTCCTACGGATCATTTGGAGCCTTTGTGTTATCTGGTTTTCTCTGAATTTTGTATCGTAAGTTCCGTAGAGATTGCTTCATTGGATTGGTTTGGATTGGAATTGGTTGAGATGATTCCATCATCTCGTTTTCACTATAGCACCGCTCGCCACTGGAGCAGAACTCAACCATACGAGTTAAAACCACTGCCACCATCTACCATCATTTTGCTTCCTTCCCTCCCTTTGCTTTTATAGTTATCTCCACAGTTTTTCCTGAGCGTAATGACATGTCCTTCTTCTATCGAGGCTTACGGAGAGTACTCGGCGGCAGGCAGTGGCCTGGCTTGTGCTCTTGACATTTCAGAGGGTCATGAGCAACAGTAACCACTCACCATTTTGTGGGCCGTATGTTCGTCTACCTAGAACGGCAATAAAAAAAATTAAATAGTCTGAAGCGTACACCTCATTTCCAATATACCAAATAGGTACTGAACTTTTAGTTGAGTCTCGTTGAAATCGGACGCTACGAAATATTTTATTTGCATTGAATATTCAATTTATTGACTAACTAGAAATGAAATACGTACTCAACAAATGTTCACGATTGACTTCCACGGTGAAGGAATAACATCGTGTAATAAAAATCAAACCCGCAAAAATTATAATTTGTGTTATTACTGGTGGTAGGACCTCTTGTGAGTCCGCGCGGGTAGGTACCACCGCCCTGCCTATTTCTGCCGTGAAGCAGTAATGCGTTTCGGTCTGAATGATAGGGCAGCCGTTGTAACTATACTGAGATCTTAGAACTTATATCTCAAGGTGGGTGGCGCATTTACGTTGTAGATGTCTATGGGCTCCAGTAACCACTTAACACCAGGTGGGCTGTGAGCGCGACCATCCATCTAAGCAACCAATAAAAAATAAAAATAAAAACTGGAGTATTCAACATTACAAAAATTTATAATTTCATACATTAATTAACTGAGACGCTAAAACTAAAGTTTAATCTTACTAAAACATATCACCCAAGAATACCCTCATGTACATGGTATAAATTGCGCGAGTAGCCAGCTTTTGCAGGATGAAAATTGTTTAAACATTAGCGGCTATTTCTCACAGAATGTCAAAGGACCAAAAATAACAGATTCCACAAATCGGTCATTTACCAGTGAATAGACAATGAATTACAAAGTTTTTCTTTTTTTTATTGCTTAGATGGGCGGACGAGCTCACAGCCCACTTGGTGTTAAGTGGGTACTGGAGCCCATAGACATCTACAACGTAAATGCGCCCCCCACCTTGAGATATCAGTTCTAAGGTATCAAGTACAGTTACAACGGCTGCCCCACCCTTCAAACCGAAACGCATTACTGCTTCACCGCAGAAATATGCGGGGTAGGGTACATACCCGTGCGAACTCACAAGAGGTCCTACCACCAGTAAAGTACCATTTAGTTATAAAGAACAGGTAAACTAGCTCCTTCCTACCCCTAGCTATCTAGTAAACAGACTATTAGAATGAGCAATTCGTTCACAGCTGGGAAAAAGCACAATGGTCAGGATCGGCAATAGGCGGTGCGGCAGGTGCAGTGGCAGCCGGCGCGCTGGTCAGTGCTGTAGCGCTGGCTGGTTCCAGTCCATCAACAGCCACCCTTCCTAACCCAGAACCAAGAGACTCAGCCAGTCTCACACCAGGCAGCGCCTTGTCGTTGACTCCGAACTCTTCTTGTGAAGAATTGAGGATTGATGCAGGTATTGTATTTCCCGCTACGATCTACCGCTGTTTTGAGAGTAGAAGCTGGAGGCTCATTTCCTACTAACTGTATTCTAAAGACTCCAAAATATCAATAACTAGCGACCCGCCCTCGCTTCGCTTCGGAAACTGTAATTTATTATTGATTTCTCCACTATTTAATGAATGTTATTATACATATAAACCTTCCTCTTCAATCACTATCTATTAAAAAAACCGCATCAAAATCCGTAGCGTAGTTTTAAAGATTTAAGCATACATAGGGACAGACAGATATAGGGACAGAGAAAGCGACTTTGTTTTATACTATGTAGTGAAGACACTTATCTTGAAATCTATCTCATTTTAAAATGGATATTTTTGAAATGGAACTATAGTGGAAGGTAGAACTTAGAGCTAACAATTTTCCATCAGCTTGGTTTCAAGAGAATTGTCTTATTATATCTTTACAAGAGAACACTGAAATGAAAACCTGATGTCGCACTCAGTGCTTCTTCATTTAATTTAATAAAGCATGTAGGAGTCATAGACCCGGTATTTCTGATGTCCATAGACCTTTGTACCATTCATCAACAAAAACATTCAAGAAATAAATGTAGTGAAGCTTTGTCTCCAGACTTTCGTGCTGATATTATCCGATTAGAAAAAGGTTTTGCTCGAAAAAAATTAACGCTAAATATTGTCATACAGGTTCCTATCGCAAAAGTCTTCGTGGAGACGAGCACGATGGAGCATATCTACATGCACCAACTCAGGTGGGCAATATTGATCATGTCACAACGGGGATGTAAGCAGTATCGATCTATGAATTGCTTTATCCTGTCAATATAGTATTTCTTTAGACGTAAAAGCGGCGGACTATCAAAATGCGATTGAGAAACCATTTCCTTAAGTTCAAAGGAAATATCCCCCACTTTACGAGGGTTATTATTAGGTAAGTGAAATGGGTTGAAGATTCTAGTGTAGACATCTTTTGTGTACTAACATGAGCGAACAATAATATTATTAGATTAAATAAAGTCAAGTATAGTAATTAATAAATCTAATTTGATGTTAATTTGGGTCCTAAAGCCAATAGACCACACAACGTAAATATCACCCTCCATTTTTGAGCGTTAGTTGAAGTATACATGGCATCCTCACAGCAGCTTTCACTAATGATAGAGCATCTTTTAAGCCGGGTAAGAAACTCCACCCTGCCTATTTCTGTCGTGAAGCAGTAATGCGTTTCGGCTTAAAGGGTGAGGGAGCCGCTATTGTCAAACTGAGACCTAGAACTGTTATCTCAATAGGGATAACGTCATTTATGCTGTTGACTTCTATGGGCTTTGGTAACAACTTAATATCAGTTGGGCCGTGAGCTCGTTCACCCATCAAGCAATAAATAAAAAGACTACTGGTGGTAGGATCTCTTGTGAGTCTGCGCGGATAGCGGTACCGCCGCCCTGCCTATTTCTGCCGTGAAGCAGTAATGCGTTTCGGTTTGAAGGGTGGGACAGCCGCTGTAACTATACTTGAGACCTTAGAACTTGTATCTCAAGGTGGGTGCCGCATTTACGTCGTAGATGTCTATGGGCTCCAGTAACCACTTAACACCAAGTGGGCTGTGAGCTCGTCTACTCGTATAAGCAATAAAAAAAATAAAAAAAATATTAACTACGTTTTCATAATATTGGTTCCTACCTGGCGAATTTAAACAGCTACATAATTGCATTGCTTCATACCACGGCATCGGTTGCTTTATGGTTTTGGTCACGACTATATATTCGCATGAGCTTAATTTCTCGATAATTACCATCAGGACGACAGTTCAACATCACCATCACCGAACAAGCTCCACAAGAGCCCTTGGGGTAAAATGAGGAACATTATCCAAACACATCGGGACTCAGTAAAGAAGAAGTCGATTCGAGGATCGAAGCTCTCTCCTGAAGTGATGCCGATGAGAAGGAGATCGTTTAGCGATGGCGGAGACAGCGATGCACCACCAGCCCTGACTGTCACCATACCATCTTCTGAAGAATTGGGTAAGTTTAGCTTAACAGAAATATAAGTGTGATCAACAGGAATTTATTGAAATATATAATTCGTGAAGCTGCCCTTGAGCGTTTAGGTCTCCTTCGGAGGCGCTCGGGCAGCAGTTAGCAAATCCCATCTCTTCCTGGCTGAGCTTGTGCTCGCCCACCGGTCCTGGTGAAACTGGAAAGTACTCCAGGCAACAAGTAATCCTTCCTTCCTTAAAGAAGTCAAGGCTCCGTCACAGAGGCCCTCGACACGACACGGCCCATCACAGAAGCGAAAACGTCTCTGATAATCCCATCATCAGATCTGGATTGAATCGCCGAGGCTTCCACAGTGATATGTACTTCTTAGCCAATATTCCAAAAAAAACTCTTCAACTATAAAACGGTGATATTTTCCTCCAGCCGGCTTAGATGATCGTCCTCTTTCGCTATTATAGAAGATATTTAGATATATATATATATATGTGTGTATATATATAGAAAGAGTACAATCCAGAGCAGAATTGAAGTGGCAGGCTAGTCGTAACAGTATTTATATAAACGATATATACGTATTTTCGTATGTAATGTACATAACAATGGTTTCTGTTTAATGTTGCTAAACTATGGAACGCTTCCTTAATCTTAAATATCTGTCTCTTTCCTTTATCTCTAACCATCATTCAATTCATTTTCATTGAAAAACCAAATTCGTTATCTCAATTATCATTATCAAATAAAATAATTTTGTTTACATATATTTTTCATTTGTACATTATACAATTTGTCTTCTTCGTAAGAAGTACTTTTATATTTATGAAATTACTATTTATTATTTAATTTTTTTATTAATAAGTATTAAATAAAAACTTTGTTTTGCTATGGTGAGTACAAGTAGGGGCCTTATGATGATACTATATAGTTGACCAACTGGATTGATATGAATAACTTATCTATACTAATATTATAAAGAGGAAAGATTTGTTTGTTTGTTTGTTTCGAATAGGCTCCGAAACTACTGGACCGATTTGAAAAATTCTTTTTCTATTAGAAGCCGACATTGTCCCTGATGAACATAGGCTACTTTTTTTTAAAAAAAAAATTATTTTATTTTTTTGGTTTCATGTGTGTTTTAATGTTTCCGAAGCGAAGCGAGGGCGGGTCGCTAGTAATTATATAATTTTAATCTTCTATCTTCTATATATTATAAAAATGAATTGCTGTTCGTTAATCTCGCTAAAACTCGAGAAAGGCTGGACCGATTTGGCTAATTTTGGTCTTGAATTATTTGTGGAAGTCCAGAGAAGGTTTAAAAGGTAGATAAATATGAAAATGTTTGAAATTAAATAAAAATAACAATTTTCCGTACGGATTCCTTTTGTTTGTTTTAAGTTTATTTTATACCAAAGCTTGTGTATTTTATTTATCGATTGAGGCACTACGAAGTCTGCCGGGTCAGCTAGTTACTATTAAAAACTGAAAGGATTGAACATAGACGACATGAAATTCACTATTGATGACGGTATTACTTAATAACACACACACACACACACAGCAAATAATTTAAAAAGCTATACATCTGAATTTTTTATAAAATAATCTTATTTAAGTTCGATTGAATCCATCTTAAGAAGACACGAAAATTCCAACAACTTATGCTTTTTTTTGCAAACGATTCAATGTTTATAATTTGGCAATCTTGAGTAAATAAAAAACTAAAATGTACCGCAATTTAAAGAGATAACATTCTATTAACGAATAGAAAAATAAAAAGTCGAGAGGATGTAGTTTTTTCAATGTTACTGTTGGTGAAAATGTAGGATTGATTTATTTTTATTTATTACACTTCATGTAAAATTTACATTGGCGGACTTAATGCCTAAGGCATTCTCTACAAGGTAGAGCAGAGTAAATAGTAGTAGGTGCAATGAAATTTATATTAAATTACAAACACATACACAATGTACATATATACACAATCACATATACATATCGACGCTTGAAAGGCAAACGTGACTAAGCGACAATGCGTGAACAGTAGACTAATTTAAAGTTGAAATACCTGAAAACAAAATTTATTTTAACGAATCCAGCTGTAGTATAATCTAGCTAGTAGCTGTAGGATTGAAATGATTTTAATAGACCTAGAAATATATTTTTTTTGCGCATCGAATATGGTTATTGCCTATCATTTATGTACAAATCAGTTATTGTCGCTTTGTCACTTTCAAGCGTCGATATACATACATACATATAATAGTTTATACAGTACTAAAATTATTGATTTAATGCTCATTAAGATTTTCCTGTCATCGCTTTTCAGACAGAGAACTTGTTTATTTGCCGCGATCTCCCATATCTATGCGCCACAGATCACTACAATGTCAGCCGTGCAAACATGTAGCTCTGTAACACGCAATATTCTGCTATCTGTACATTATTTACTCTCATATTCGATACCATATCACGCACATTAACTGAACCACTCAACAGCTTTATGACTCCACGCTCCTAACCAAGCTTATTCTTTTAGAATCCGAGCCTACTCACCCGGTACTTCGCAAGCAACGTTCCCTAGAACTAGGGGCAAAGCCTCCGCAGCATCGTCCTGCGCGTCCTTCTAAATGGACGAAAGTGAAGAGGGCCTTCCTGACTTCTGCGTCTGCTTCTGTTCCTTCGAGTCCTAGCAGGCAGAGCGCATTCTTCACGGATGCCGGTAAGAGAATCATTTTCTTCTTCATTCTCTCTTTTACTCTTCTGCTTGTGTCACAGAAACCATTCTTATGTGCGGAACATAGTGAATTAGATATTCTATTATATTGTCTACCAAAAAAATTTAAGCTGCAGTAAAACTAAAACCTGAGGGAGTTCATATAGAGTCCCTTCTTTATTTCGCCGTATAGTCGTGTTTTATGTAATTAACACCACAGTTGAAACAATAGAAATTTTATTGTTGTAGCGGCATAAACAATTCTAAGTTATTATATTATTTATTAAACACATTTTAAATTATTTTTACGTTTTAAATTTTCGGCGGTAAAAAGGTCCTGTGTCACAGACTATATTCTTTTTTCCACCTCTCGTGCGTTCCGGCTTACGCATCATAAAAAGGTGCGTTCTTAAACGCCACAAACCCAAGGGTAAGAACAGGCGGAAAATGCGAAGTTTTTGAATGCAAGCACATCTCCTTTGAGACCCGCCTATCTCACGTGACTTGAACAGAGAACAACGTGCTATTATCGTATTCAATTGTTCACATGCTTATAAAATTTACATTAATCGAGTGACGATGAAGAAGATAATGACTTATTTTTTTTGCACAAAATGCGGAGCTATTGTATGCGTTAATACTATGACTTCGAATTCGAATGGAGATGCTTGCGACAACATCGTATCGGGAATCTATATATTAATACGTGAAGGAAAATCTTTATATCCCTTTTTACGAAAATTTAGCGGACGGAGGAGTATGAAATATTCTACACTTATAGAGAATATAGAGAAGGAGTGCAGAATGTTAATATTTTTTAAAATTATGCCTGATAAATACATTAAATCAATAAAAAAAAACATTACACACACTACCATATATTTGACGCACACACGCATGCATACTATTCATTTATTGTCAAACTTTTGTTCTTGAAGTCTGTGGTCAAATTGAGAATAGATTAAAAATATTGTTTGTCTTTATTAATATTTTTCTATAGTGTAGTCTTGGCGAAATTTGTGATTACAGAAGTTCCTTTGAAAATAGAATCATAATAGCGAACAAACTTACAATTTCAATTAATTATAGTCGAATTTCGACTACTGCTGGACCATTAGTCAACATAAAACCCCAAAATTTTAAAGGACGAAACATGTCATGTCATTGTCAATGTCATCTTTAGAAGTTAACGAGCTAATTCCTTTATCGCGGTCACATTTCAGCCCGATCCAAACTTAGATACTGTGTAACGCCAACATATACATTTTGATTCGGATCGACCTTGAACGATCTTATTGGCAATTCGATATATCGGCTCTCATTGTATTTTCGTATCTTACTCACGATATTTGTGGGTTTTAGTGTCGATAACGCGCATATTTTCCGTGTAATCTATTTGCTGTTTGAAAGAATATCCGGTCTAGTTGGTGCAATGTTATGTAAACTCTTTAGAATATATATTATATTAATATATATATATATATTATATATTAATAGGTGAGGCAAAAGCTTTGTAGGTACCCCTTTTTACGAAAATCGCGCCGATGGAGGAGTATGTTTTCCACACTTTCTAGATTCTAGAGAATATAAAGGGAGTGCAGAGTGCTTTTTTTTTAATTATGCCTAAAAAACACATTAAATCAATAAAATAAACATAATACACACTACCACGTATTTGACACACACACACACGCGCATATATACTCTTCGTGTATTGTCAAACTTTTCTTATTGTTTATAGTCTGTGGTCGAATTGAGAATAGATTAAATATTATTTGTTTTTAATATTATTTTTCTATTATGTAGTTTTGGCGAAATCTGTGATTATAGAAAGTAAAATAATAGTCTTTGGCAATAGCACCATAACGATGTTCAAAATTATATTTCCATTAATTATAGTCGAATTTGGACTACCAGGGACCACTAATAAACATTAAAACGTAAATGGTGAGAGATGTAATTAATTATGTATGAGCGTTAGGATATTTAATAAACTACCGAAGAAATTAAGAGACTTAGATGATTTTAATTTTAAAAAAAACCTAAAAGGTAATCTTATTAGTGAAAATTATTATCACGTGAATGATTTTCTTGGGGATGACATTGAAAATAAATGGATTTTTAATTATTAGTTGAATTATGGATGAATGAATGGTAAATTATATAATATTATAACTATGCACTGCACTAAAATTCGCATGTCAAATAATGACAAAGCATACACGCTGCTTTTAATTTATGTAATAACTCATTTTCACTATGCTTGGCGAATAAATGATTTCTTTCTTTCTTTCTTTCTTTATTGTATTTATAATAGCGTCAAAGTCACATGCAGTGATAACACTTACATTAATGTACAAGAAACTTTAAAAAAAGGTACGCGTTATTTTTTATAGTGACTTGTCGAAGATTCTTTTCTCGCCTTCGTAATGCTAACGGGAGAGCATATTAACCAGACATTCCACTGTTTACGGATCTATTTTGTCATCATTTAATCTCTACGCTAAATCTTTTACAACGCTAACGTTTTGTCACGGAGCAGAAGCTTACGAACATCTAGATCCGGATAATCTAACATTCACTCATCTCTTGAACACGTGAAAACTCATTTATTCGCAGTCTAATAAAAAAATCGGTTGTCTGTAAAGTCGGCTTACTGACGATAGTTGAACGTGACAACGTGACAACGAAAATTTTAATTTTATTTGTTTGATAGATATTTTGTATGGACAATTGACACTACATTCACTTTTCACCGAACTTCATACTTGAAGAAAACATGTAAATGTATTATTATATAGCAGCTGTCCACGCGGATGCATCGCTCACTCAAGTAGGAGAAAGACAGATGTCGAACGCTGCCGAACGCGGAGGCCGATTGTGCCTCTTTGTCGCTCGTTGCGCGCTCTCGCTTGCACTTCAAGCCTTAAATGGAACGCTTCAATGAGTCATGTTTTTTCGTGCGTGCAGCCGAATTATAAGACGTTGTCACGTCAAAACACCTATCGATTTCTTTATCATCCGTGATTCGTAAACAAACATTATAGTTACAAACATTGTATTAGGAAAACGAAACACGAAATTCGAACGATGAAACTAATAATGAACTTTCCCAGAATACACTGGCATTACTAATTGAACAACTTCCTGCACGTGCCTTAACGTATTTGGTCAAGTGTAATACCACTGCGTTATAAATCACAAGATTATAAAAGCCTGCAATAATTTATCTTCAGCAGAACAACAATTTCGAAGGATATTCTTCTATACACAAATACGATGAACATGGACATATTATGTCTTCAACTTGAGGGACGCTGGCGAAGCAGCTACTCTTGAACTGTTAGGTCTCCTTCGGAGGCGCTCGGGTAGCTGTTAGCAAATCCCACCCCTCCTGGCTGAGCCTTTGCTCGCCCACCTGTCCTGGTGAAACTGGAAAGGCCTCCGGGTCCCCAGTAATCTTTCAATCATAAAAAAGGGACGCTAATGTCTTATTAATACTACTAAATAATAAATAGCTGGAAACAACTCACACACGGTCATCGGGCCATAAATTTGGATTTCCTTTGTCGATAACAATACCAGAGACTGACATACATAATTAAAAACGTTTAAATATAGGTATATATGTTACGGTAAAAGTAGTTATTGCGGCAAATGTACACATTTTCCGGTAAATGTGCACATTTGCCTCCTCGTTTGGGTAATGTGCATTCAACTAACATTTACAATTTCAAAGAAGGGAAATGTACATTGAATTCACAATGACCATGTCGTTTTGGCAAATGTGAGCATAGTATACAAAATACGAAATCGCAAGTAATGTAGTGCGCATACACCACTGCAACCTAACCTACGACATATTAAATAATATGCAAAGAAAAGTATGTTGTGTTTGTCATTTACATTTTGCTGTGCCGCTGGTGTCCCGAAATACCCCGCTGGACCAGAACCAGCCAGCCAGGTCGGGACGCGATACAACACCAGCCGGTTGCTCTTTTTATCTAGAAGATATTACTCCATGGTAGCGCGCTAATGTGCTGGTAGTGCGCCCCGCGGTCTCGACCTCCTCAGGTCGCCCCCCGACCTTCACTGGGCGGTTCTGTCGTCACATAAATACATCTACGTTATTCTACCTATTCTAGTGATCTCAAGGGGTCATACTAGATTCACCGACGTAGTAGGTGAGCTCACGGGGGTCTATCTTGGGTGCCAACACTAGCCCTAGCAGTGCTTCGCTGAGAACACCCGGCGAGAAACTCAGTGGGCTGTGTCTGAGGGCATAAATTAAGATGCGTTCACTAGTTACTCTCGTTTGACAGTCTTTTGGCCATGCCTTCCTCAATTGCACGAGCGATGATTATACATTGTATGTAGCTGACGTGTGAAAAGAATATGTTTTTTTTTCTTTACAAATTTATGCCCCAAATCCAACAGTCTTATGAAATCATTCGATCCGTCCGACCTACATACCGCCAGACAAGCCCAAAAACACATAAATACACAAACCGAGGAACACTTCTTGGCTGACATTAGCACCGTTGTAATGCCTCCATTAAAACTTGGCAACAGTCCAACTGTCCGAAATATGAATAATTAAAAACGCTTCCCGCTGCAAATGTTACTGGGTATTCCTTATGGTATCGTACGGCAGGCCTTCTTTCGAAATCTCTATTTTAAGGACCACTTTTTAAAGTCACAACTTTGGAGGAATCTTTGGTATTGCTTCTAGAAGCCTCTATTGGTTCTTTTTTTTTTTTATTGCTTAGATGGATGGACGAGCTCACAGCCCACCTGATGTTAAGTGGTTACTGGACCCCATAGACATCTAGAACGTAAATGCGCCACCCACCTCGAGATATGAGTTCTAAGGTCTCAGTATAGTTACAACGGCTACCCCACCCTTCGAACCGAAACGCATTACTGCTTCACGGCGGAAATAGGCGGGGTGGTGGTACCTACCCGTGCGGACTCCCAAGAGGTCCTACCACCAGTGATTACGCAAA